GTGCCAGAAAGGAGCTTTTGTAGTGTAATGGTTACGAGTTGGGTTGCTAATCTCATGGTCAGCAGTTAGAAACTTCCAGTGGTTCTGCAGGAGGAAGATAAAGTGTTTAGCTCCTGTAAAGATTTATAGCCTCGGAAACCCCATACAGGGTCACTAAGGGTCTGAACTGATTCGATGGCACATAACAACAATAACATTGGTGCCAGAGGCAGTTTCTACTTTCCACTTAATGGACTTTCAGGTTGGCCAGCTTATCCTTTTCGTCTTCCCATTTAGTCCTACTTGTCTTGATCTAAGAAACTCTGGCAATGCTATGGGTTAGGCCTTTGGCTGCTAACTACAAGGTTGGCAGTTCAAACCAGCAGCTTTTTTGTGTAAGAAAGATGAGGTTGTCTGTTCCTGTAAAGATTTACAGTGTTAGTAAAATAGTAATAATAATGATTATTATTAATTATCACTCTGAGTCATAATCAACTTGAAGGCAGTGGATTTTGTTTTGTCTTAATCTTTTTTCCTGAGGAACTGTTTTCTCGAAAGGAAGGGACAGAAGTGGAGTTAATTTTTCAGATCATTTGCAGCTTGGAGTAAAACAAAAAATGTGTTTCATGTTACAGATGCCCGAAGGCTTCTCAACATGGGGTGCAAAGGCCCTGTGCTTATTCCCATTCCACTAGGAACATCTGATCCTTATCATAATAAATACTGCAATGGCGTCTCCTCAATTAGGTTGTTATTTGCAGAAAGAATTCTAACAGTTCACCTCAAAGAGTTTGGTCCCAGAGATTTCCCAGATGTTCAATATTATACATGCCAATGGATTGGTTTTTCCCAAATGCAAGCATTAGTGACTATGAATATGGGGGTGGAACTCATAGTTGGTGGAACTGTCACCCCTAACCTGCCTGTGAGTATGTGTGGGTAACCATGTTGGTGCACCAGGTAGACCCATCTGGGAAGACATTCCCATGCAGTACCCACAATCCCACCACATTCTCTTCTGCCGAAGACAGCAAATCTATGAATGAAAAAGGCATAGAGGAGACAGACCTACCTTCCTTTCATAAAATCCTAACACTTCCAATGTATAAGATCTAAAATTCAAAGTTCACAAAGTGGTCAGGTCAACAAAGACACCGGAGGAAACATACCTCGCTCTAAATGAAAAGACTTTTGGCTTCATCCGTCATCTGTGCTCCAGGTTTTGGATGAATTGCTAGAGTCATGATTTGCTATGTAGAGAACTGACTTTTATGACATCCCTTAGAGCTACCTACAAACAATGCTGGCACGAGTAGCAGTTCAGTAAATATTTGTTGGGTGTGTGTGTGTGAATCAACATGGCTCTGCAGTCAGGATTTACACATCCCCCTAACTGACCATTGTGGACCACACTCCAAGCAGAGAGCAGAGAGCAGAGGCAGAACCGATGGTGACCCTCCAGTGGTCTTAGCCCTGGTGATCTGACTCTCTGGGTGCTAAGGGCTTGCTTTCAGAGCAAAGTTCTGGGTTACAAAGTTCTGGGTTGCAAAGTTCAGTCCAATCATGCAAACTTCTAAAAATAATAACATCAGCCACAAACCCTACCCTAATCTGTGAGTGAGAAACCCTAGCTGCAGAAAAATATTGAATTTCATTTTTACTGGCTAGGTGACTTTATTCTGTTTTGATTTTCTTGGACAAATTGGTTAGCTCTTTGAGCAATCATCAGAAGAGGGAAATCCACCTTTAGTAGGGACCATACATGTCGTTTAACACAGCGTAAGATCCAGTGCAGAGCAGAAGTAAAATATACTTAAAACTGAAGTTTTAATTCTGGAGGGTTTTGGCTCCACTGGTAGAGCGAAAGTACATGTTGTCCTGTGTGGAAGTTTCCAGTTTTTAAATCCAAGTGTTTAGTTCACTCCCTCCTCTTTGACATTACTTGGTTGTAGGGATCAAGGGAAGGAGCTTTGGTAGTGTAGTCGTTACGAATCAGGCTGTCAACCTCAAAGTCAGCAGTTTGAAACTATCAGCTGTTCCACGGGAGAAAGATGAGGCTTTCTGCTCCTGTAAAGATTTACAGCCTCAGAAACCCTGTACAGGGTCACTATGAGTCGGAATCGACTCCACGGCACATAACAACAACAACAACAATGGGGTCAAGGGAGCATCACTCTGCACTGGCTAGCCCATTACCTTTCTCTGTCAGGCGTGACTCTGATTTGCTACCAGGGGGACGTAACCCTGGAGTAACAGGTGACATCAATAACTTGGCACCTGACCTATAAACTCTCCTCTTTGGGGGTGACCTTGGAGTCGGGCTGCAAACACTCCTGGAAGCTTTCCCTCATTTTCACTGACCTTTTATTTTATCAGCCTTAGCAGTCCAGCCAGAATACTCCTTAGAAGCTAGGCTGATAAAACTTTGTCTCACTAACTTTGGACACATTGTCAGGAGGGACCAGTCTATGGAGAAAGGCATTGTAGTTGGTAAAGTCAGGGGTCAGTGAAAAAGAGGCAGACCCTCAATGAGATGGATTCACACAGTGGTTGCAACAAGAGTCTCAAGCGTAGCAACAGTTGTGAGGTTGGCGTAGGACTGGCAGTGTTTCGTTCTGGGGTGCATAGGGTCACTAGAAATCAGAACCAACTCGATGGTACCTAACAAAGACAGTCACATGGCTAAGGGATAGGCATTTAACCAGGCCTGAGTCTTGTTTCCTCATTTGTAAATGCCAAGGGTTGTCAGAAATATAGTAAACCCCACGAAACCCAGAATCTGTTGCAGGATTGAACTGTGCCCCCTAAACATGTACCAATGCTGGCTGTGGTTCCCAGTATTGTGTGGTATCTTCCATTTGTGATGTGCTGTAAACCATGAGCTCTGTATGTACGAGGAGTACTGGTGTGGTGCTGTAGGATAAGCGCTGGACTGCTAACCACAAGGTTGGCTGTTCAAACCCACCAGCTGCTCCTTGGAAACCCTCTAGAGAAACCAACTCGATGACACTTTCAATAAGAAGGGCAAGGGTGAGGCTTATCTTGAGTCACAACCTTACAAGAGTCCCCACACCACACTTGTCAAGTCTTCACTGAACCTCACAGCCTTGCTTGAGTTACCTCTTTTACAAAAGAGAAACAGAGAAAGAAGCAGGTAGGCAGGGCTGGGCCCACAGTACCATCAAAAAGGAAGAGCTGAGTGGAACACATCCTTGGAACCAGGTGTCCCTGCCCTCTGAAAGAAAATGCAGAAGAGACAAGGATCTCCTTCCAGAGCCGATAGAGAGAAAAAGCATTCTCCTAGAGCTGGCATTCCAAATTCTGATTTCTAGCTTCCTAAACTGTGAAGAAATAAAGTTCTGCTTGTTAAAGCCATTTACTCGTGGTATTTATGTTACAGTAGTGCGAGGGAACTAAGACAGGTGGAAACCTGCCAGGGAAGAAAACTCGAATCGTTTCCACTAAAAGGAGAGATAGAAAAGTGATAAGGTGGCACCCTGCCAAAGGTAGACAGCTTGGCTGTCCCATGGTGTCCCGGCTCTTACGGGTTTCACCGTGGCGTGGTTAGCTTAGCACACAGCGACCCCTGCGTGTTTCTACCTTCTTTGTGATGTGGTCTCAATGGTGCACCACTTAGGGGACTACACTGTGAGGGAGCACTCTGAGGTGACTACACTGTGAGGGAGCACTCTGAGGGAACACTGTGAGGGAGCACTCTGAGGTAACTACACTGTGAGAGAGCACTATGAGGGAGCACTCTGAGGGGACTACACTGTGAGGGAGCACACTGAGGGGACTACTCTGTGAGGGAGCACACTGAGGGGACTACACTGTGAGGGA